TCCTAAGCATCGAAGTTATCGAGACACGATCTAATCTGACCAACGAGGTGCCATTCCGCTATCAAAGAGGCTATTCCGTGGTAATTTTGTTTGTCCAAGCATAATTATCGTGGGCTACTGTGGGTTAATTCATCCAGCTTGTGCATGTATGGTTCTCAGCGCCTGGACTATGCATTCTTTAAGACTTCCATGACAGTCTATAGCTCCTCACATCCAAAGCATACGAAGGCGCATCCTATATACTCTGCGGGAACCCTTCCCAAGACCTTTCTCCAAGTCACATGGGTCTTTATGTTGATTGGTCCACTGAATATTCACAGCCGTGCGGGTGTCACTCTAACCTGGTTGAGCTTTGAGTTGCCAGGGGAGTCCCCCAAGACTTGAACAGCATATAAGGACAGCCGTCGATCGGACTGCTGGACCTTGATCTGTTCTGTTCAGTTCTCTTTCTCGAAAAACTTCCAACGTCTTTCAGCTCTCCAAAGATTCACTTCCAACCGCAACCCACCACGCCTACGAAAGTTGCCCACCCGATGGCGTGTCTCGGCCAGAAAAACCCAAATGCTTCTACCTTGGCTGACGAAATCAAGGCCATCGTCAAGGGAATATTCCCCTGGCTGAAGTCAATTTGTTAAGACCCTGACACGTTTACCTAGAAGAATGCTGGTATTCGCCAGTCTCGCCCTCTAAGAAAGCCATAGGTGTCTTGACAGTTGACAACGCCCGCACTGGCGGACTCGGTCGGGACGAACCTCCTTGGTGGAAATTGCAAGGGCCGGCGCCTGCAGGGCTTACCCCTAAATTCATGAGTAGCGACTTTCCATAAGATAGCGGGGCGTCTACATCGTCTCCCATATGTACAGCAATTTTCTCTTTGCATGTCGTTCAAGACTCCCAGGAATCACGTTCAAAACACGACTGCTACTAGATACAAGCGAAAGGACGAGGCATTCCGCGTGATGTGAGATCTTGGCGCTTGCCGATCAGTAGGGAAACATCGACACCTCTTCGTCGTTGGGGTCCAATGGCCTTTGTTGCCAAACACGTACTGTCAGACCCAAATGGAGGTCGATAAGCTAGTCCAGACAGCCGAGCTGTCCTGTCAGAGTAAAGTGCACAAACAACTTGTAGACAACATGTAGGGGAACAGAGCCTCGTTGACCACAGCTCGCCCCAGATCACCGTGTCCACGAATCCACTACAAGACATGACATACCATCATAGCGTCGCATAAAAGGATTTGGCGTATTTTTAAGTATTCTGAACAGATGTATAGGAGCTCCTTTCTGCTTAACCACGGCAATCGAACCCATCCTCGATCTTAAGAAACAATGAAGTTCCCCCAGTCATGTAGAGACCGGTCACACAATTGTCTCCACGCCTGAACCCCGCCAAGATAAACCAGTGGCTCGACTCTCTTGTGAGGGACGTTCGCGCCGGTCCACCACGCGGTGCTATCGCGAAAGAGGGTTGACTCAAAAGCGTTCGTTACCAGACGTTTCCAAGATCGGCAAGACTCTTCCGCTGGCTCGATGGAATGTAGCTTATCCCGACGCATCCTCTCTAGGAGCCTCATCACCCAGTCAACCTGGAGCTCAATAAAAGGCGGCGCGTTGGTCTGCGTCGTCGGCCCTTGCGGCCCATACAGCACGAATGCATTGGGCATA